GGTCCTAGTGGAACTTTTTATTTATAGGACACGATGGGAATAAGGTACGTGTCAATGGCATGGCGGGAACCAATTGTAAAGTTCCATAGCGTCTACTCTAATACACTAGAAATAACGTTTAAAGTTATGAAACATATTGGATTCAAAAATAAAATCAATTAATTTTAATTTTTAGAAATTGCTTTGTTTATGTTTCGGATACAAAACTGAGCAGATATGAGCTTTCGAGAAAATTTGAACGAGTGGATGTGCTTTAAACGCAAAATAGAACCATGCTTGATTGTGAAACTCTCTGTAGCCAAACGGTTAAAGCACACCAGATCAAACGATTGCCAGAGCATCGTCATTTAGAAATTGCTCGTTTTCCTGAAAATTCATTTGAAGAGACTTGGTTTCGTTTCTAAACTCGACACGAGCAGAACATGTTTCGTATTTCGGTAGCCATTTCTTTGCTGTTACGCTACGATAAGCAGCCGAACAAAATTGTCACAGGCGATGAAAAATGAGTCGTTTATGATAAAATTCGATGCAAACATTTGAATGTTCAGAACCCGTGGCTAAAGCGGGCTTGAATCCAATGAAGGTGTTGCCGTCCGTTTGGTTGGATTTTGAGGGATAATTCATTTTGAGCTTCTTCCAGCCGGCGAAATAATGACTACAAAGAAGTATTGACCAACTCACCAATCTTAATCAAGAAAAATGGAATATTTTTTGCAAATTGAAAAGGTGTCATATTCAACGAAAACTATCTCACAAATTTCATCCAACAGAAAACACGAAGTCGCTACAAAAAGTAATAATTCCCTTTGAGCTTCTTCCAGTCGGTAAAACAATGACTACAAAGAACTATTGTGACCAATTCAACAATCTCACTCAAGAAAAACCGACGACTTTTTGCAAATTGAAAATGTGTCATTTGCACCGTAACAACGCAAGACCTCATGTTGCAGAACAGACCTTGCAGAATCTTAAAGATTTGAAATGGGAAACCTTTCAGCACCAACCATATTCTCCTGACTTGGCTCTTTCGGATTTTCCTTTGTTCTGGTCTCTACAGAATAATTTAAAAGACGAAGAATTTAGCTCTATACAATCAGTCGAAAACTATCTCACAACCTTCTTCCAACAAAAAAAAAACGCGAAGTTTCTGCGAAAATGACATCAGGAACTGTCCGCAAAGAAGTATTGTGACCAACTCATCAATCTCAACGAGGCTATTCAAGAAAAACTGATGATTTTTTTTCAAATCGAAAAGGTGTCATTTTCCAGCACGACAATGCAAGACCGCATCTTGAAAAATAGAACTTGCAGAATTTTCGGTCTCTATAGAACAATTTAAAAGACGAAGAATTTGACTCGATACAACAAACTTCTTCTAACAAAAAATACGAAGTTTTTACGAAAATGGCCTCAACAAGCTTGTAGAACGATGGAAGACAGTTGTCCAAGAACAAGAGAAATTATGTACTTGATTAATAAATGTTTTTTGGGTTTTTTTTTGCTGGCCATTGTGGAAAGTGAACCGAAGATTTCGACGGAAGAGATTGTTTGAAAATTGATATCTCAAGTGCCTTTCGCTATTTAAAGAGTCTTGGGTTCTAGAAAAACGGTCGAAAACGGTGTCATTTTCCACCACGACAATGCAAGACTGCAGCTTACAAGACAGAGCTTACAGAAGTTTATAGAGTTGAAAGTTTCTACGGAAATGGCATCAACAATTTTATAGAACGATGAGAGACAGTTCTTCAAGAACAAGGGAGACAATGTTTGTTTGTGAGTCTGTGAAATTTTGTTTTTAACCGTGCACAAACTTTTGCAATGATCTAATACTCCTTCTTTCTTTCAAAACAGACGTTGCAGAAGATTAAAGAATTGACATGGGAAAACCACCTGGTCTCACCTTCTTATCCCGACTTGGAACCTTCGGATTTTCATATGTTCCGTTTTCTACAGAACAATTTTAAATGACAAAAAAAGATTTGACATAGTCAATCGAAAATTAACTCACGAACTTCTTCCAAGAAAAACACGAATTTTCTACGAAAATGACATCAACAGACTTGTAGAACGATGGAAGACAGTTGTTAAACTCAGTGGAGATTATGTACTTGATTAATAATTTTTTTTTTTGCTGGCTATTGTAGATAGTGAACCGAAGATTTCGACGGAAAAGATTGCTAAGAGTTTGAAAATCGATATCTCAACTGCCTTTCCCCATTTGAAGAGACATGTGTTCGGTTCTAAACTCGACAAGTGGGTGACACATTCTCTAACGGAACCGAACGAGTTCGACTGTTTTTCTTCGTTGATTTCTTTGTTGTTATGCAAAGGAAACCGTTCTTGGACAAAACAGTCACAGGCGATGAAAAAATGGATCGTTTATAATAGCCTTTGATGCAAACGGAGCTGGGAACAAACTTGTGGATAGGCAGAACTAAAGCTGGCCTGCATCCAATGAAGGCATTGCTGTCCGTTTGGTGCGAATGCAGAGAGATAATTCTTTCACACGGCGAAACAATAACTGTAAAGAATTATTGCAACCAATTCAACAATCTCAATGAAGCTATTAAAAACGGCTGAAAAAAAGACCTCATGTTGCAAAACAGACCTTTCAGAATCTTAAAGATTTGAAATGGGAAAACTTCCATCACCAACCATATTCTTCTGACTTGGCTCTTCCGGATTTTCCTTTGTTCTGGTCTCTACAGAATAATTTAAAAGACGAAGAATTTGGCTCTATACAATCAGTCGAAAACTACCTCACAACATTCTTACAACAAAAAACATGAATTTTCTAAGAAAATGGCATCGACAGACTTGTAGAACGATTGGAGACAGTTGTTAAAATCAATGGATATTATGTACTTGATTAATAATTTTGTTTTTTTGCTAGAGATTGTAGATAGCAAATCAAAGATTTCGACGAAAGAGATCGCTAAGAGTTTTCGCTATTTGAAGAGACTTGGGTTCTAGAAAAACGGCTGAAAATGGTGTCATTTTCCACCATGATTTGCAATACTGCGTTTTGTAAAACAGATTTTGCAGAAGCTTAAAGACTTGAAAGTCACTACGAAAATGGCATCAACAAGCTTGTAGAACAACGGGGGACAGTTGTTCAAGAACAAGGGAGACAATGTTTCCGTGTGTGTATATGAAATTTTGTTTTAATTTTCTAACAGGACACAAACTTTTCTATAATCTAATACAAAGATAGGTAAATATTGATGAATGAAGTCATGCCTCCATAAAACTGATTTTTTTCATATGCGATCATTTGCTGCCGCTGTCCATCCATCAGAGGTCCTGGTTATGACGATAAACTACACCCGGCATCAAGGCCTCTGATCAGGAGATATAAGGCTTTGAGGAGCCTGGAACCACCTCTTAATTGCTGTTGTTCCCACGTCCACCCTGATCCCGGGTGATAACACCTGTTAGGGTCCGAACTATGGGCTAATAGTGAACCCCCAAACAAAAACAAAACATTATGAAAGAATAAAAATACATTTTTATAGTAAAATACTAGCAATACACACACACACACACACACACACACACACACACACACAAACACAAATATATATACATATATATATATATATATATATTTCGATTATAGGTGCAGTTCAGTTTATAATTACATGAATCATTCATACAAAAACAAATATAGAGGTTAATGATTTAAATGGCGAGAATACATCTTCGCAAACAATTTCAATAAGATACACTAACGCCGAACCTGTATATGAATGATATGATCCCTGTTTATAAATTCCAGTTTCATAAGGTCTTTTTTTAGTTTTTACAAGATTTCGTCTGTTCCTACAGACATCCTCAGGTATGGAAATAGATTTGTTCTTGTTTTTTACTTCTCGGTAATAAGAGGACAACGAAAATAGAGATGTAATCCGAAAAAATGTTTTAAGAAATGTGTTATTGTTTTGGAACGTGCGGTCGCAACGCTGAGTTTGAATTTAAAATTTTAAAGTTGTGCGTTTTTGTACAAATATAGTAATAAGAGAATTCTTTTGTACTGGTAGGTACTCTGGTGGGGTGATCATCAGGTAGATGACTCTGGTGGGGTGATCATCAGGTAGATGACTCTGGTGGCGTGATCATCAGGTTGTTGCTGGATGTGCCTGAGGCAGCAAACACGGCTTTGAACGACGGTGCAGAGAATGCTTGCAAGATGAAATTACTCAGTTGAATAATTCAAAGAATAATTAATTTTTCGCACTCATTTCGACAGTATTATTTTAATTGTATTACATGTTTATTCTTAATGTTCTTTTATTTTTTGACACATTCACTGCGGCATTGTTGTAGCATTGATGCCTGGCTGTGCTGACCCATTTGAAGAAAAAAAGGAAATTGTCATTTCCTGGAAATAAATGACCATAGAGATACAAACAGGGATTTTTCATCGTCACCGACATTTTGGTTTCGATCAGATAGTCTGCAATACAGAGTAAGTTAAACACCCTCGAAGACACAATATAATTAAAATATAGCAATGTTTTTTTCTTTTAACACTACTAGTATTTTAATTGCCTTCACTCCGTCAGTAATGTTTATTGTCTAAAAAGTGATGATTGAGCCAACCTGGCCCGCCAGTTGTTACGGTCTTGGATTAATCTACTGGAGGTCATGGGAGGCTGCTGAATGTTCTTGGACACATAAAGAGGAAATAGGGCTTTGGTGAAAATGCACGCCATATCGAAAGTAAAAGAGGCAGCGGGCCACATGTATCTGACTGGCTTGTGACACCTGATGGCGGAACAATTGGTGTTTGTTAAAGAGAGAAACTCAGCTAGAATGGGTAGGAGTTTGTAGAAACCAGCTAGAATGGGTAAGGCGTTGTTTTGTGACACCTAAACAATTACTGAAAACTCAGCTAGAATGGGTAGGAGTTTGTGTGGGCCACATCTATCTGACTGGCTTGTGACAACAAATCTATCTGACTGGCTTGTGACAACTGAAGGCGGAACAATTGTTGTTTGTTAAAGAGAAAACTCAGCTAGAATGGGTAGGAGTTTGTAGCAGGCCACATCTATCTGACTGGCTTGTGACACCTGATGGCGGAACAATTGGTGTTTGTTAAAGAGAAACTCAGCTAGAATGGGTAGGAGTTTGTAGCAGGCCACATCTATCTGACTGCCTTGTGACAACTGATGGCGGAACAATTGGTGTTTGTTAAAGAGAAAAACAGCTAGAATGGGTAGGAGTTTGTAGCGGGCCACATCTATCTGACTGGCTTGTGACACCTGATGGCGGAACAATTGGTGTTTGTTAAAGAGAGAAACAGCTAGAATGGGTCGGAGTTTGTAGCGGGCCACATCTATCTGACTGGCTTGTGACAACTGATGGCGGAACAATTGGTGTTTGTTAAAGAGAAAACTCAGCTAGAATGGGTAGGAGTTGTAGCAGGGCCACATCTATCTGACTGGCTTGTGACAACTGATGGCGGAACAATTGGTGTTTGTTAAAGAGAAACAGCTAGAATGGGTAGGAGTTTGTAGCGGCCCACATCTATCTGACTGCCTTTGTGACAACTGATGGCGGAACAATTGGTGTTTGTTAAAGAGAGAAACTCAGCTAGAATGGGTAGGAGTGTGTAGCAGGCCACATCTATCTGACTGCCTTGTGACAACTGATGGCGGAACAATTGGTGTTTGTTAAAGAGAGAAACAGCTAGAATGGGTAGGAGTTTGTAGCGGGCCACATCTATCTGACTGGCTTGTGACAACTGATGGCGGAACAATTGGTGTTTGTTAAAGAGAGAAACAGCTAGAATGGGTAGGAGTTTGTAGCAGGCCACATCTATCTGACTGCCTTGTCTGAAGGCGGGAACAATTGGTGTTTGTTACAGACTGATGGCGGAACAATTGGTGTTTGTTAAAACAATTGGTGTTTATTAAAGAAAAACTCAGCTAGAATGGGTAGGAGTTTGTGGCAGGCCACATCTATCTGACTGGCTTGTGACAACTGATGGCGGAACAATTGGTGTTTGTTAAAGAGAAACTCAGCTAGAATGGGTTGTAGTGGCCACATCTATCTGAGTTTGACAACTAGCAACAATTGGCCACATGGGTATCTGCCACATCTATCTGACTGGCTTGTGACAACTGATGGCGGAACAATTGGTGTTTGTTAAAGAATGAGGAAACTCAGCTAGAATGGGTAGGAGTTTGGGTAGCAGGCCACATCTATCTGACTGCCTTGTGACAATTGATGGAGGAACAATTGGTGTTTGTTAAAGAGAGAAACTCAGCTAGAATGGGTAGGAGTTTGTAGCGGGCCACATCTATCTGACTGCCTTGTGACAATTGATGGAGGAACAATTGGTGTTTGTTAAAGAGAGAAACTCAGCTAGAATGGGTAGGAGTTTGTAGCGGGCCACATCTATCTGACTGGCTTGTGACAACTGATGGCGGAACAATTGGTGTTTGTTAAAGAGAGAAACAGCTAGAATGGGTAGGAGTGTGTAGCAGGCCACATCTATCTGACTGCCTTGTGACAACTGATGGCGGAACAATTGGTGTTTGTTAAAGAGAGAAACAACTGATGGCGGAAACAATTGGTGTTTGTTAAAGAGAGAAACAGCTAGAATGGGTGGGTAGGAGTTTGTAAAGGCCACATCTATCTTTGTACTGGCTCTATCTGACAAACTGATGGCGGAACAATTGGTGTTTGTTAAAGAGAGAAACTCAGCTAGAATGGGTAGGAGTTTGTAGCGGGCCACATCTATCTGACTGGCTTGTGACAACTGATGGCGGAACAATTGGTGTTTGTTAAAGAGAAAACAGCTAGAATGGGTAGGAGTTTGTAGCGGGCCACATCTATCTGACTGGCTTGTGACAACTGATGGCGGAACAATTGGTGTTTGTTAAAGAGAGAAACTCAGCTAGAATGGGTAGGAGTTTGTAGCGGGCCACATCTATCTGACTGGCTTTAGTGACAACTGATGGCGGAACAATTGGTGGTGTTTGGGTTAAATCTATCTGACTGAAAACTCATGGCGGAACAATTGGTGTTTGTTAAAGAGAGAAACTAGAATGGGTAGGAGTTTGTAGCGGGCCACATCTATCTGACTGGCTTGTGACAACTGATGGCGGAACAATTGGTGTTTGTTAAAGAGAGAAGCTCAGCTAGAATGGGTAGGAGTTGTAGCGGGCCACATCTATCTGACTGGCTTGTGACAACTGATGGCGGAACAATTGGTGTTTGTTAAAGAGAGAAACTCAGCTAGAATGGGTAGGTGTTTGTAGCGGGCCACATCTATCTGACAATTGGTGTTTGTTAAAGAGAGAGAACCAGACAACTGATGGCGGAACAATTGGTGTTTGTTAAAGAGAGAAACTCAGCTAGAATGGGTAGGAGTTTGTAGCGGGCCACATCTATCTGACTGGCTTGTGACAACTGAAGGCGGAACAATTGGTGTTTGTTAAAGAGAGAAACTCAGCTAGAATGGGTAGGAGTTTGTAGCGGGCCACATCTATCTGACTGGCTTGTGACACCTGATGGCGGAACAATTGGTGTTTGTTAAGAGAGAAACAGCTAGAATGGGTAGGAGTTTTGTAAGGGCCACATCTATCTGACTGGCTTGTGACAACTGATGGCGGAACAATTGGTGTTTGTTAAAGAGAGAAACTCAGCTAGAATGGGTAGGAGTTTGTAGCGGCCACATCTATCTGACTGGCTTGTGACAACTGATGGCGGAACAATTGGTGTTTGTTAAAGAGAGAAACTCAGCTAGAATGGGTAGGAGTTTGTAGCGGGCCACATCTATCTGACTGCCTTGTGACAACTGATGGCGGAACAATTGGTGTTTGTTAAAGAGAGAAACAGCTAGAATGGGTAGGAGTTTGTAGCGGCCACATCTATCTGACTGGCTTGGCGGAACAATGACAACTGATGGCGAAACAATTGGTGTTTGTTAAAGAGAGAAACTCAGCTAGAATGGGTAGGAGTTTGTAGCAGGCCACATCTATCTGACTGGCTTGTGACAACTGATGGCGGAACAATTGGTGTTTGTTAAAGAGAAAACTCAGCTAGAATGGGTAGGAGTTTGTAGCAGGCCACATCTATCTGACTGGCTTGTGACAACTTGATGGCGGAACAATTGGTGTTTGTTAAAAAGAGAGAAACTCAGCTAGAATGGGTAGGAGTTTGTAGCGGGCCACATCTATCTGACTGGCTTGTGACAACTGATGGCGGAACAATTGGTGTTTGTTAAAGAGAGAAACTCAGCTAGAATGGGTAGGAGTTTGTAGCATGGGCCACATCTATCTGACTGGCTTGTGACAACTGATGGCGGAACAATTGGTGTTTGTTAAAGAGAGAAACTCAGCTAGAATGGGTAGGAGTTTGTTGCAGCCCACATCTATCTGACTGGCTTGTGACAACTGATGGCGGAACAATTGGTGTTTGTTAAAGAGAAAAACTCAGCTAGAATGGGTAGGGAGGTTTTGTAGCGGGCCACATCTATCTGACTGGCTTGTGACAACTGATGGCGGAACAATTGGTGTTTGTTAAAGAGAGAAACTCAGCTAGAATGGGTAGGAGTTTCTGACTGGCTTGTGCCACATCTATCTGACTGGCTTGTGACAACTGATGGCGGAACAATTGGTGTTTGTTAAAGAGAGAAACTCAGCTAGAATGGGTAGGAGTTTGTAGCGGGCCACATCTATCTGACTGGCTTGTGACAACTGATGGCGGAACAATTGGTGTTTGTTAAAGAGAAACAGCTAGAATGGGTAGGAGTTTGTAGCGGGCCACATCTATCTGAAACTTGTGACAACTGATGAATTGGTGTTTGTTAAAAAGAGAAAACTTTGGGTGGAGTTTGTAGGGCCACATCTATCTGACTGGCTTGTGACAACTGATGGCGGAACAATTGGTGTTTGTTAAAGAGAGAAACTCAGCTAGAATGGGTAGGAGTTTGTAGCGTAGGCCACATCTATCTGACTGGCTTGTGACAACTGATGGCGGAACAATTGGTGTTTGTTAAAGAGAGAAACTCAGCTAGAATGGGTAGGAGTTTGTGGCAGGCCACATCTATCTGACTGGCTTGTGACAACTGATGGCGGAACAATTGGTGTTTGTTAAAGAGAGAAACAGCTAATGGGAATTTGTAGGGCCACATCTATCTGACTGCCTTGTGACAACTGATGGCGGAACAATTGGTGTTTGTTAAAGAGAGAAACTCAGCTAGAATGGGTAGGTGATTGTAGCGGGCCACATCTATCTGACTGGCTTGTGACAACTGATGGCGGAACAATTGGTGTTTGTTAAAGAGAAAACTCAGCTAGAATGGGTAGGAGTTTGTAGCAGGCCACATCTATCTGACTGGCTTGTGACAACTGATGGCGGAACAATTGGTGTTTGTTAAAGAGAAAAATCAGCTAGAATGGGTAGGAGTTTGTTGCGGGCCACATCTATCTGACTGGCTTGTGACAACTGATGGCGGAACAATTGGTGTTTGTTAAAGAGAAAAACAGCTAGAATGGGTAAAGAGATCTGAACAACTGATGGCGGAACAGCTAGAATGGGTAGGAGTTTGTAGCAGGCCACATCTATCTGACTGGCTTGTGACAACTGATGGCGGAACAATTGGTGTTTGTTAAAGAGGAGTTTGTACTCAACTGGCTTGACAACTGATGGCGGAACAATTGGTGTTTGTTAAAGAGAGAAACTCAGCTAGAATGGGTAGGAGTTTGTAGGGCCACATCTATCTGACTGGCTTGTGACAACTGATGGCGGAACAATTGGTGTTTGTTAAAGAGAGAAACAGCTAGAATGGGTAGGAGTGTGTAGCAGGCCACATCTATCTGACTGCCTTGTGACAACTGATGGCGGAACAATTGGTGTTTGTTAAAGAGAGAAACTCAGCTAGAATGGGTAGGAGGTTGTGGCAGGCCACATCTATCTGACTGGCTTGTGACAACTGATGGCGGAACAATTGGTGTTTGTTAAAGAGAGAAACTCAGCTAGAATGGGTAGGAGTTGGTAGGCGGGCCACATCTATCTGACTGGCTTGTGACAACTGATGGCGGAACAATTGGTGTTTGTTAAAGAGAGAAACTCAGCTAGAATGGGTAGGAGTTTGTAGCAGGCCACATCTATCTGACTGGCTTGTGACAACTGATGGCGGAACAATTGGTGTTTGTTAAAGAGAGAAACTCAGCTAGAATGGGGTAGGAGTTTGTTGCGGGCCACATCTATCTGACTGAACAATTGGTGTTTTAAAGTTAAAGAGAGAAACTCAGCTAGAAGACACATCTATCTGATGGCGGAAACAAACAATTGGTGTTTGTTAAAGAGAGAAACTCAGCTAGAATGGGTAAGGGAGTTCGTAGCGGGCCACATCTATCTGACTGGCTTGTGACAACTGATGGCGGAACAATTGGTGTTTGTTAAAGAGAGAAACTCAGCTAGAATGGGTAGGAGTTTGTAGCGGGCCACATCTATCTGACTGGCTTGTGACAACTGATGGCGGAACAATTGGTGTTTGTTAAACAGAGAAGCTCAGGTAGAATGGGTAGGAACAATTGGTGTTTGTTAAAGAGGCCACATCTAGAATGACTGAGTTGTGACAACTGATGGCGGAACAATTGGTGTTTTTGTTAAAGAGAAAAATCAGCTAGAATGGGTAGGAGTTTGTAGCGGGCCACATCTATCTGACTGGCTTGTGACAACTGATGGCGGAACAATTGGTGTTTGTTAAAGAGAGAAACTCAGCTAGAAGGGGTAGGAGTTTGTAGCGGGCCACATCTATCTGACTGGCTTGTGACACCTGATGGCGGAACAATTGGTGTTTGTTAAAGGGAGAAAACTCAGCTAGAATGGGTAGGAGTTTGTAGCGGGCCACATCTATCTGACTGGCTTGTGACACCTGATGGCGGAACAATTGGTGTTTGTTAAAGAGAGAAACAGCTAGAATGGGTAGGAGTTTGTAGCGGGCCACATCTGTTTGACTGGCTTGTGACAACTGATGGCGGAACAATTGGTGTTTGTTAAAGAGAGAAACAGCTAGAATGGGTAGGGATTTGTAGCGGGCCACATCTATCTGACTGCCTTGTGACAACTGATGGCGGAACAATTGGTGTTTGTTAAAGAGAGAAACAGCTAGAATGGGTAGGAGTTTGTAGCGGGCCACATCTATCTGACTGCCTTGTGACAACTGATGGCGGAACAATTGGTGTTTGTTAAAGAGAGAAACTCAGCTAGAATGGGTAGGAGTTTTGTAGCGGGCCACATCTATCTGACTGGCTTGTGACAACTGATGGCGGAACAATTGGTGTTTGTTAAACAGAAACTCAGCTAGAATGGGTAGGTGTTTGTAGCGGGCCACATCTATCTGACTGGCTTGTGACAACTGATGGCGGAACAATTGGTGTTTGTTAAAGAGAAACTCAGCTAGAATGGTAGGAGTTTGTAGCGGGCCACATCTATCTGGCTCTGATCTGGCTTGTGACAACTGATGGCGGAACAATTGGTGTTTGTTAAAGAGAGAAAATCAGCTAGAATGGGTAGAGTTGTTAAAGCGGGCCACATCTATCTGACTGGCAACTGATTGGACAACTGATGGCCGGAACAATTGGTGTTTGTTAAAAAGAGAGAAACTCAGCTAGAATGGGTAGGAGTTTGTAGCAGGCCACATCTATCTGACTGGCTTGTGACAACTGATGGCGGAACAATTGGTGTTTGTTAAAGAGAGAAACTCAGCTAGAATGGGTAGGAGTTTGTAGCGGGCCACATCTATCTGACTGGCTTGTGACAACTGATGGCGGAACAATTGGTGTTTGTTAAAGAGAGAAACTCAGCTAGAATGGGTAGGAGTTTGTAGCGGGCCACATCTATCTGACTGGCTTGTGACAACTGATGGCGGAACAATTGGTGTTTGTTAAAGAGAAAACTCAGCTAGAATGGGTAGGAGGTTGTAGTGCCACATCTATCTGACTGGCTTGTGACAACTGATGGCGGAACAATTGGTGTTTGTTAAAGAGAAAACTCAGCTAGAATGGGTAGGAGTTTGTAGCGGGCCACATCTATCTGACTGGCTTGTGACAACTGATGGCGGAACAATTGGTGTTTGTTAAAGAGAGAAACTCAGCTAGAATGGGTAGGAGTTTGGCAGGCCACATCTCTCTGACTGGCTTGTGACAACTGATGGCGGAACAATTGGTGTTTGTTAAAGAGAGAACTCAGCTAGAACAATTGGGAGGTTGTTAAAGCCACATCTATCTGACTGACTTGTGACAACTGATGGCAGAACAATTGGTGTTTGTTAAAGAGGAATTTGAAGGGTAGGGAGTTTGTAGCAGGCCACATCTATCTGACTGGCTTGTGACAACTGATGGCGGAACAATTGGTGTTTGTTAAAGAGAAACTCAGCTAGAATGGGTAGGAGTTTGTGGGCCCACATCTATCTGACTGGCATGTGACAACTGATGGCGGAACAATTGGTGTTTGTTAAAGAGAGAAACTCTGCTGGAATGGGTGGGAGTGTGTTGCGGGCCACATCTATCTGACTGGCATGTGACAACTGATGGCGGAACAATTGGTGTTTGTTAAAGAGAGAAACTCAGCTAGAAGGGGTAGGAGTTTGTAGCGGGCCACATCTATCTGTTTGAAAGGAAACTCAGCTGGGTGACATCATCTATGGCCTTGTGAAACAATTGGTGTTTGTTAAAGAAAACTCAGCTAGAATGGGTAGGAGTTTGTAGCCGGCATCCTATCTGACTGGCTTGTGACAACTGATGGCGGAACAATTGGTGTTTGTTAAAGCAGAGAAACTCAGCTAGAATGGGTAGGAGTGTGTTGCGGGCTGCATCTATCTGACTGGCTTGTGACAACTGATGGCGGAACAATTGGTGTTTGTTAAAGAGAAAACTCAGCTAGAATGGGTAGGAGTTTGTAGCGGGCCACATCTATCTGACTGGCATGTGACAGCTGATGGCGGAACAATGGATGTTTTTAAAGAGAAAACTCAGCTAGAATGGGTAGGAAATGGGTGTGTAGCGAGCCGCATCTATCTGACTGGCTTGTGACAACTGATGGCATAACTATTGGTGTTTGTTAAAAAAGAAAAATCAGCTAGAATGGGTAGGAGTTTGTTGCAGGGACATCTATCTGGCATGTGACTTGGCGGAACAATTGGTGTTTTGTTAAAGAGAAACACACATCTATCTGACTGGCTTGTGACAACTGATGGCGGAACAATTGGTGTTTGTTAATAAGAGAAACTCAGCTAGAAGGGGTAGGAGTTTGTAGCGTGCCACATCTACCTGACTGGCTTGTGACAACTGATGGCGGAACAATTGGTGTTTTTTAAAGAGTGAAAATCAGCTAGAATGTGTAGGAGTGTGTTGCGGGCCACATCTATCTGACTGGCATGTGACATCGGATGGCGGAACAATTGGTGTTTGTTAAAGAGAGAAACTCACCTAGAATGGGTGGTCGGAGTTTGTGTCTATCTGACTGGCTTGACAACTGATGGCGGAACAATTGGTGTTTGTTAAAGAGAGAAACTCACCTAGAATTGGTAGGAGTGTGTAGCGGGCCGCATCTGTCTGACTGGCTTGTGACAACTGATGGCGGAACAATTGCTGTTTGTTAAAGAGAGAAACTCAGCTAGAATGGGTAGGAGTTTGTTGCAGGCCACATCTATCTGACTGGCTTGTGACAACTGATGGCGGAACAATTGGTGTTTGTTAAAGAGAGAAACTCAGCTAGAATGGGTAGGAGTTTGTAGCGGACCACATCTATCTGACTGGCTTGTGACAACTGATGGCGAACAATTGGTGTTTGTTAAAAAGAGAAACTCAGCTGGAATGGGTAGGAGTTTGTGGCAGGCCACATCTATCTGACTGTCTTGTGACAACTGATGGCGGAACAATTGGTGTTTTGTTAAAGAGAGAAACTCAGCTAGAATGGGTAGGAGTGTGTTGCAGCATCTATCTGACTGGCATGTGACAACTGATGGCGGAACAATTGGTGTTTGTTAAAGAGAAACTCAGCTAGAATGGGTAGGACTTTGTGAAACATCTATCTGACTGGCTTGTGAAACCGATGGCGAAACAATTGGTGTTTTGTTAAAGTAAAAACTCAGCTAGAATGGGTAGGAGTTTGTCCACATCTATCTGACTGGCTTGTGACAACTGATGGCAACAAAACAGCTGATGGCGGAAACTCAGCAATGGTGTGGAGTTTGTGGCGTGCCACATCTATCTGACTGGCTTGTGACAAGAGATGGCGGAACAATTGGTGTTTTGTTAAAGAGAAAAACAGCTAGAATGGGTAGGAGTGTTGCGGGCCACATCTATCTGACTGGCTTGTGACATCGGATGGCGGAACAATTGGTGTTTGTTAAAGCGAGAAACTCAGATAGAATGGGTAGGAGTTTGTAGAGAGCCGCATCTATCTGACTGGCTTGACAACTGATGGCATAACAATTGATGTTTGTTAATAAGAGAAAACTCAGCTAAAAGGGGTAGGAGTTTGTAGCGTGCCACATCTATCTGACTGGCTTGTGACAACTGATGGCGGAACAATTGGTGTTTGTTAAAGTGAGAAACTCAGCTAGAATGGGTAGGAGTTTATAGCGGGCCACATCTATCTGACTGGCTTGTGACAACTGATGGCGGAACAATTGGTGTTTGTTAAAGAGTGAAAATCAGCTAAAATTGGTAGTGTTTGTGGCCACATCTATCCGACTGGCTTGTGACAACTGATGGCGGAACAATTGGTGTTTGTTAAAGAGAAACTCAGCTAAATTGGTAGGAGTTTAGCGGGCCGCATCTGTCTGACTGCTTGTGACAACTGATGGCGGAACAATTGGTGTTTGTTAAACGAGAGAAACTCAGCTAGAAGGGGTAGGAGTTTGTAGCGGGCCACATCTATCTGACTGCCTTGTGACAACTGATGGCGGAACAATTGGGTGTTTGTTAAAGGAGAAACTCAGCTAGAAGGGTTTGTAGCGGGCCACATCTATCTGACTGCCTTGTGACAACTGATGGCGGAACAATTGGTGTTTGTTAAAGAGGAAAATCAGCTAGAATGGGTAGGTTTTGTTGCGACCACATCTATCTGACTGGCTTGTGACAACTGATGGCGGAACAATTGGTGTTTGTTAAAGAGAGAAACTCAGCTAGAATGGGTAGGAGTTTCGTAGCAGGCCACATCTGTCTGACTGGCTTTGTGACAACTGATGGCGGAACAATTGGTGTTTGTTAAAGAGAGAAACTCAGCTAGAAGGGGTAGGAGTTTGTAGCGGCCACATCTATCTGACTGGCTTGTGACAACTGATGGCGGAACAATTGGTGTTTGTTAAAGAGAGAAACTCAGCTAGAATGGGTAGGAGTGTGTAGCGGCCGCATCTATCTGACTGGGACAACTGTGACAAACTGATGTTTGTTAAAGCGGAACAATTGGTGTTTGTTAAAGAGAGAAACTCAGCTAGAATGGGTAGGAGGTTCAAAGCGGGCCACATCTATCTGACTGCCTTGTGACAACTGATGGCGAAACAATTGGTGTTTGTTAAAGAGAAACTCAGCTAGAAGGGGTAGGAGGTTTGTAGCGGGCCACATCTATCTGACTGGCTTGTGACAACTGATGGCGGAACAATTGGTGTTTGTTAAAGAGAAACTCAGCTAGAATGGGTAGGAGTTTGTAGCGGGCCACATCTGACTGGCTTGGGACAACTGATGGCGGAACAATTGGTGTTTGTTAAAGCTCAGCTAGAATGGGTGAGGAGGTGATGGGCCACATCTGTCATCTGACTTGGGATGACAACTGATGGCGGAACAATTGGTGTTTGTTAAAGAGAGAAACTCAGCTAGAAGGGGTAGGAGTTTGTAGCGGGCCACATCTGTCTGACTGGCTTGTGACAACTGATGGCGGAACAATTGGTGTTTGTTAAAGCGTGAAACTCAGCTAGAATGGGTAGGGAGGAAACTTTGTGGTCGGAGTCGGGCCACATCTATCTGGCTTGTGACAACTGATGGCGGAACAATTGGTGTTTTAAAGAGAGAAAATCAGCTAGAATGGTAGGAGAATCTGTCTGACTGGCTTGTGACAACTGATGGCGGAACAATTGGTGTTTGTTAAAAGAGAAACTCAACTAGAAGGGGTAGGGTTGTAGCCCCACATCTATCTGACTGGCTTGTGACAACTGATGGCGGAACAATTGGTGTTTGTTAAAGAGAGAAACTCAGCTAGAAGGGGTAGGACTTTGTAGCGGGCCACATCTATCTGACTGGCTTGTGACAACTGATGGCGGAACAATTGGTGTTTGTTAAAGAGAGAAAATCAGCTAGAATGGGTAGGTGATTGTAGCGGGCCACATCTATCTGACTGGCTTGTGACAACTGATGGCGGAACAATTGGTGTTTGTTAAAGAGAGAAAACTCAGCTAGAATGGGTAGGAGTTTGTAGCGGGCCACATCTATCTGACTGGCTTGTGACAACAGATGGCGGAACAATTGGTGTTTGTTAAAGAGAGAAACTCAGCTAGAATGGGTAGGAGTGTGTGGCAGGCCACATCTGTCTGACTGGCTTGTGACAACTGATGGCGGAACAATTGGTGTTTGTTAAAGAGAGAAACTCAGCTAGAATGGGTAGGAGGTTTGTTGCAGGCCACATCTATCTGACTGGCTTGTGACAACTGATGGCGGAACAATTTGTGTTTTACATTAAAGAGAGAAACTCAGCTAGAAGGGGTAGGAGTTTGAAGCGGCCACATCTATCTGACTGGCTTGTGACAACTGATGGCGGAACAATTGGTGTTTGTTAAAGAGAGAAACTCAGCTAGAAGTGGTAGGAGGTTGTAGCAGGCCGCATCTATCTGACTGGCTTGGGACAACTGATGGCGGAACAATTGGTGTTTGTTAAAGAGAGAAACTCAGCTAAATGGGTGGGAGTGTGTGGCAGGCCACATCTATCTGACTGATGTGACATCTGATGGCGGAACAATGGGTGTTTGTTAAAGAGAAACTTGGGTAGGAGGTGTTGCCCACATCTATCTGACTGGCTTGTGACAACTGATGGCGGAACAATTGGTGTTTGTTAAAAAGAGAAACTCAGCTAGAAGGGGTAGGAGTTTGTAGCGGGCCACATCTATCTGGCTGGCTTGACAACTGATGGCGAACAATTGGTGTTTGTTAAAGCGTGAAACTCAGCTAGAAGGGTAGGAGTTTGAACCCCATCTATCTGACTGGCTTGACAACTGATGGCGGAACAATTGGTGTTTGTTAAAGAGAGAAACTCAGCTAGAATGTGTAGGAGTGTGTTGCGGGCTGCATCTATCTGACTGGCATGTGACATCGGATGGCGGAACAATGGGTGTTTGTTAAAGAGAGAAACTCAGCTAGAATGGGTAGGAGTGTGTAGAGGGCCGCATCTATCTGACTGGCTTGTGACAACTGATGGCATAACTATTGCTGTTTGTTAAAAAGAGAAAACTCAGATAGAATGGGTAGGAGTTTGTAGGCCACATCTATCTGACTGGCTTGACAACTGATGGCCGAACAATTGATGTTTGTTAAAGAGAGAAACTCAGCTAGAATGGGTAGGAGTTTGTAGCGGCCACATCTATCTGACTGGCTTGTGACAACTGATGGCGGAAACAATTGGTGTTTTTTAAAGAGGAAAATCAGCTAGAATGGGTAGGAGTGTGTTGCGGGCCACATCTATCTGACTGGCTTGTGACAACTGATGGCGGAACAATTGGTGTTTGTTAAAGAGAAAACTCAGCTAGAAGGGTAGGAGTTTGTAGCAGGCCGCATCTGTCTGACTGGCTTGTGACAACTGATGGCGGAACAATTGGCGAGAAACTCAGCTAAAAGGGGTAGGAGTTTGTAGCAGGCCACATCTATCTGACTGGCTTGTGACAACTGATGGCGGAACAATTGAGTTTGTTAAAGAGAAAACTCAGCTAGAAGGGGTAGGTGATTTGTGGCAGCCACATCTATCTGACTGCCTTGTGACAACTGATGGCGGAACAATTGGTGTTTGTTAAAGCGTGAAACTCAAAAGCTGGAATGGGTGGGAATGGTCGGACCACATCTATCCGACTGGCTTGTGACATCTATGGCGAAACAATTGGTGTTTGTTTTTTAAAGAGAAAAATCAGCTAGAAGGGGTGGCGGAACATCTGTCTGAATGATGGCGGAACAATTGGTGTTTGTTAAAGAGAGAAACTCAGCTAGAAGGGGTAGGAGTTTGTAGCGGACCACATCTGTCTGACTGGCTTGACAACTGATGGCGGAACAATTGGTGTTTGTTAAAGCGGAGAACTCAGCTAGAAGGGGTAGGAGTTTGTAGCGGGCCACATCTATCTGACTGGCTTGTGACAACTGATGGCGGAACAATTGGTGTTTGTTAAAGAGAGAAAACTCAGCTAGAATGGGTCCGGGTTTGTTGCGGGCCACATCTATCTGACTGGCATGTGACAACTGATGGCGAAACAATTGGTGTTTGTTAAAGAGAGAAACTCAGCTATAAGTGGTAGGAGATTGTAGCAGGCCGCATCTATCTGACTGGCTTGTGACAACTGATGGCGAAAACAATTGGTGTTTGTTAAAGAGAGAAAATCAGCTAGAAATGGTAGGGAGTTTGTGAGCCACACATCTATCTGACTGGCTTGTGACAACTGATGGCGGAACAATTGATGTTTGTTAAAGAGAAAAATCAGCTAGAAGGGGTAGGAGTTTGTAGCGGGCCACATCTATCTGACTGGCTTGTGACAACTGATGGCGGAAACAATTGGTGTTTTTAAAGAGAGAAACTCAGCTAGAACAGGTCGGAGTTTGTAGCGGACCACATCTATCTGACTGACTTGTGACAACTGATGGCTTGGTGTTTGTTAAAGAGAAACTCAGCTAGAATGGGTAGGAGTTTCAGTGGCAGGCCCATCTATCTGACTGGCTTGACAACTGATGGCCGAAACAATTGGTGTTTTGTTAAAAGAAACTCAGCTAGAATGGGTAGGAGTTTGTAGGCAGGCCACATCTATCTGACTGGCTTGACAACTGATGGCGGAACAATTGGTGTTTGCTAAAGAGAAAAACTCAGCTAGAATGGGTAGGAGTGGCCACATTATCTGGCAGGCCACATCTATCTGACTGGGAGTTTTGTGACAACTGATGGCGGAACAATTGGTGTTTGTTTTGTTAGAGAAACTCAGCTAGAATGGGTAGGAGTTTGTAGCGGGCCACATCTATCTCACTGGCTTGTGACAACTGATGGCTGAACAATTGGTGTTTGTTAAAAGGAGAAACTCAGCTAGAATGGGTAGGGTTTGTTTCAGGCCACATCTATCTGACTGGCATGACAACTGATGGCGGAAACAATTGGTGTTTGTTAAAAAGAAAACTCAGATAAAGTTATAGGAGTTTTGTAGAGGGCCACATCTATCTGACTGGCTTGTGACAACTGATGGCGGAACAATTGGTGTTTGTTAAAGAAAACTCAGCTAGAATATGTAGGAGTTTGTTGCGGGCCACATCTATCTGACTGGCTTGTGACAACTGATGGCGGAACAATTGGTGTTTTTTAAAGAGAAACTCAGCTAGAATGGGTAGGAGTTTGTAGCAGGCCACATCTATCTGACTGGCTTGTGACAACTGATGGCGAAAACAATTGGTGTTTGTTAAAGAGAGAAAATCAGCTAGAATGGGTAGGAGTTTGTAGCGGGCCACATCTATCTGACTGGCTTGTGACAACTGATGGCGGAACAATTGGTGTTTGTTAAAAGAGAAACTCAGCTAGAATGGTAGGAGTTTTGTAGCAGGCCACATCTATCTGACTGGCTTGTGACATCTGATGGCGGAACAATTGGTGTTTGTTAAAGAAAGAAACTCAGCTAGAATGGGTAGGAGTTTGTAGCCAGGCCACATCTATCTGACTGGCTTGTGACAACAGATGGCGGAACAATTGGTGTTTGTTAAAGAGAAAAACTCAGCTAGAATGGGTAGGAGGTTTGTAGCGGGCCACATCTATCTGACTGGCTTGTGACAACTGATGGCGGAACAATTGGTGTTTGTTAAAGAGAGAAACTCAGCTAGAATGGGTAGGTGTTCGTGGCGGGCTACATCTATCTGACTGGCTTGTGACATCTGATGGCGGAACAATTGGTGTTTGTTAAAGAGAGAAACTCAGCTAGAATATGTAGGAGTTTGTAGCGGGCCACATCTATCTGACTGGCTTGTGACAACTGATGGCGGAACAATTGGTGGTTGTTAAAGAGAGAAACAGAATAATAAACTCAGCTAGAAGGGTGGTGTTTTGTTGAGAGAAACCAGGGGGTAGGAGTTTGTGGCAGGCCACATCTATCTGACTGGCTTGTGACAACTGATGGCGGGACAATTGGTGTTTTTGAAAGAAATCAGCTTAAAGAGGTCCGGAGTTTGTGAACTCATCTGACTAGAATGGGTGGCGAAACAATTGGTGTTTGTTAAAAGAGCATCTAGAAGGGTGGAGTTTGTCCGGGCCACATCTATCTGACTGGCCAACAACTGATGGCGAAACAATTGGTGTTTGTTAAAAAGAGGAACTCAGCTAGAAGGGTAGGAGTTTGTAGCAGGCCATCTATCTGACTGGCTTTTGACAACTGATGGCGGAATAATTGGTGTTTGTTAAAAGAAAATCAGCTAGAAGGGGTAGGAATTTGTAGCGGGCCACATCTATTTGACTGGCTTGTGACAACTGATGGCGGAAAAAATTGGTGTTTGTTAAAAGAAAACTCAGCTATAAGTGGTCCAGAATCATCTGACTAGAAGGGGTAAAAGAGAGAAACTCAGACAATTGTAGGACTGGCCCCACATTTATCTGACTGCCTTGTGACAACTGATGGCGGAACAATTGGTGTTTTTAAATAGAAACTCAGCTAGAAGGGTAGGAGTTTGTAGCGGCCCACATCTATCTGACTGGCTTTTGACAACTAATCGCAGGCGGTGTTTGTTAAAGCGGGAAATTCAGCTAGGTGTTTGTTAAAGAATTGAGAAAACTGATGGCAGAACAATTGGAATGGGTAGGAACGGGTTTTGTAGCAGGCCACATCTATCTGACTGGCTTGTGACAACTGATGGCGGAACAATTGGTGTTTGTTAAAGAGAGAAACTCAGCTAGAATGGGTAGGAGTTTGTTGCAGGGCTGCATCTATCTGACTGGCATGTGACAACTGATGTTTGTTAAAGGAAAACAATTGGTGTTTGACTTAAAGATGGCGGAACAAACTCAGCTAGAATGGGTAGGGTTTGTAGCGGGCCACATCTATCTGACTGGCTTGTGACAACTGATGGCGGAACAATTGGTGTTTTTAAAGAGAAAAATCAGCTAGAATGGGTAGGAGTTTTGCAGGCCACATCTATCTGACTGGCTTGTGACAACGGATGGCGGAACAATTGGTGTTTGTTAAAAAAGAGAAACTCACCTAGAATGGGTAGGAGTTTGTTGCGGGCCGCATCTATCTGACTGGCTTGTGACAACTGATGGCGGAACAATTGTGTTTGTTAAAGAGAAAACTCAGCTAAAATGGTAGGAATTTGTGTGGGCCACATCTATCTGACTGGCTTGTGACAACTGATGGCGGAACAATTGGTGTTTGTTAAACGGAGAATTCAGCTAGAATATGTAGGTGATTGTAGCGGGCCACATCTATCTGACTGCCTTGTGACAACAACTGATGGCGAAACAATTGGTGTTTTGTTAAAGCGTGAAACTCAGCTATAAGGGTCGGAGTTTGTAGCGACCATATCTATCTGACTTTGGCAACTGATGGCAACTTGGTGTTTGTTAAAGAAAAATCAGCTGGTGTTTTGTTAACATCTGTCTGAAACTTTGTGACAACTGATGGCGGAACAATTGGTTGTCAGCTAGGCCCACATCTGTCTGACTGGCTTGTGACAACTGATGGCGGAACAATTGGTGTTTGTTAAAGAGAAAACTCAGCTAGAAGGGGTAGGAGTTTGTAGCAGACCACATCTGTCTGACTGGCTTGTGACAACTGATGGCGAAAAATTGGTGTTTGTTAAAGAGAGAAAATCAGCTAGAATGGGTAGGAGATTGTAGCAGGCCACATCTATCTGACTGCCTTGTGACAACTGATGGCGGAACAATTGGTGTTTGTTAAAGAGAGAAACTCAGCTAGAATGGTAGGAGTGATGGCGAAACAATTGGTGTTTGTTAAAGAGAAAAATCAGCTAGAAATGGTAGGAGTTTGTAGCGGACCCATCTATCTAACTGGCTTGTGACAACTGATGGCGGAACAATTGGTGTTTGTTAAAGAGAGAAAATCATCTAGAAGGGGTAGGAGTTTGTAAACCCATCTATCTGACTGGCTTGTGACAACTGATGGCGGAACAATTGGTGTTTGTTAAAAAGGAAACTCAGCTAGAATGGGTCGGAGTGTGTAGCGGACCACATCTATCTGACTGACTTGTGACAACTGATGGCGAAACAATTGGTGTTTGTTAAAAAGAGAAACTCAGCTAGAAGGGGTAGGAGTTTGTAGCGGGCCACATCTATCTGACTGGCTTGTGACAACTTGATGGCGAAGGGGTAAATCAATCTTGGCTTGGTGACAACTGATGTAATTGTTGTTTGTTAAAAGAAAAAACAGCTAGAAGGGGTAGGAGTTTGTAGCGGGCCACATCTATCTGACTGGCTTGTGACAACTGATGGCGAAACAATTGGTGTTTGTTAAAAAGAGAAACTCAGCTATAAGTGGTCGAAGTTTGTAGCGAACCACATCTATCTGACTGGCTTGTGACAACTGATGGCGAAACAATTGGTGTTTGTTAAAGAGAGAAACTCAGCTAGAATGTGTAGGACTGTGTAGCGGGCCACATTTATCTGACTGGCTTGTGACAACTGATGGCGGAACAATTGGTGTTTTTTAAATAGAGAAACTCAGCTAGAAGTGTAGGAGTTTGTAGCGGGCCACATCTATCTGACTGGCATGACAACTAATGGCCAACAATGGTGTTTGTTTGTTAAAAAGGGAAAGCGGGCCACTCAGCTAGAATGGGTAATTGGTGTTTGTAGCGAGTAACGCATCTATCTGACTGGCTTGACAACTGATGGCGGAACAATTGGTGTTTGTTAAAGAGAAAACTCAGCTAGAATGGGTAGGAGTTTGTAGCAGGCCACATCTATCTGACTGGCTTGTGACAACTGATGGCCAGAACAATTGGTGTTTGTTAAAGAAAACTCAGCTAGAAGGGTAGGAGTTTGTAGCGGGCCACATCTATCTGACTGGCTTGTGACAACTGATGGCAGAACAATTGGTGTTTGTTAAAGAAAAATTCAAAATTAGAGAGGAAATCTATCTGACTGGCATGTGAAAACTAGAATTGGTGTTTGTTAAGAGAGAAACTCAGCTAGAATATGTGGAGTTGCAGGCCCACATCTATCTGACTGGCTTGTGACAACTGATGGCGAACAATTGGTGTTTGTTAAAGAGAGAAACAGCTAGAATGTGGTAGGAGTTTGTGGCGGACACATCTATCTGACTGGCTTGTGACAACTGATGGCAAACAATTTGGTTTTGTTAAAGAGAGAAACTCAGCTAGAATGGGTAGGAGTTTGTTGCAGGCCACATCTATCTGACTGGCTTGTGACAACTGATGGCGGAACAATTGGTGTTTGTTAAAGAGAGAAACTCAGCTAGAATGGGTAGAGAGTGTGGCATCATCATCTGACTGGCTTGTGACAACTGATGGCGAAACAATTGGTGTTTGTTAAAAGAGTGAAACTCAGCTATAGAATGGTCGGAGTTTGTAGCGGCCACATCTATCAACTGGCTTGTGACAACTGATGGCGAAACAATTGGTGTTTGTTAAAGAGAAAACTCAGCTAGAATGTGGTCGGAGTTTGTTGCAGACCATCTATCTGACTGGCTTGTGACAACTGATGGCGGAACAATTGGTGTTTGTTAAAGAGAGAAAATCAGCTAGAAGTGGTAGGAGTTTGTAGCGGGCCACATCTATCTGACTGGCTTGTGACAACTGATGGCGGAACAATTGGTGTTGGTTAAAGAGAAAACTCAGCTAGAATGTGGTAGGGGATTGTAGCGGACCACATCTATCTGACTGGCTTGTGACAACTGATGGCGGAACAATTGGTGTTTATTAAAGAGAAACTCATCTAGAAGGGTAGGAGTTTGTAGCAGGCCACATCTATCTGACTGGCTTGTGACAACTGATGGCGAAACAATTGGTGTTTGTTAAAAGCGTGAAACTCAGCTAAAGTGGTAAGTTTGGCGGTCGGATCTATCTGACTGGCTTGTGACAACTGATGGCGGAAAAAATTGGTGTTTGTTAAAAGAAATCAGCTAGAAGGGTAGGAGTTTGTTGGGGCCACATCTATCTGACTGGCATGACAACTGATGGCGAAACAATTGGTGTTTGTTAAAGAGAGAAACTCAAAGTTTGTAGCTAGAAAATGGTAGGAGTTGTTAAAGAGAGAAACCCATGAATGTGTAGCGGACCGCATCTATCTAACTGGCAGACAACTGATGGCGGAAACAATTGGTGTTTTTTAAAGAGAAACTCAGCTAGAAGGGGTAGGAGTTTGTAGCGGGCCACATCTATCTGACTGGCTTTTGACAACTGATGGCAGAACAATTGGTGTTTGTTAAAGAGAAAATCAGCTAGAAGGGTAGGAGTTTGTAGCGAACCACATCTATCTGACTGGCTTGTGACAACTGATGGCGAAACAATTGGTGTTTGTTAAAGCGGAGAAACTCCAGCTAGAATGGGTAGGACTGTGTAGCGGGCCCACATTTATCTGACTGGCTTGTGACAACTGATGGCGGAACAATTGGTGTTTTTTAAAAGAGAAACTCAGCTAGAATGGGGTAGGGAGTTTGTAGCGGGCCACATCTATCTGACTGGCTTTTGACAACTGATGGCGGAACAATTGCGTTTGTTAAAGGAGAAACTCAGCTAGAATGGGTAGGAGTTTGTAGCAGGCCACATCTATCTGAATTGCTTGTGACAACTGATGGCAGAACAATTGAGTGTTTGTTAAAAGAAAAACTCAGCTAGAACAGGTAGGAGTTGTAGCAGGCCACATCTATCTGACTGGCTTATGAAAACTGATGGCGGAACAATTG